GCTAGCAGAGACCGTAAGAAACACCGATTCCTGCGCAAAGTCACGGAGTAAATTTAGTTGTTTGCAAAGGTATTTAAACTTTGTAATATTTTGTTTTCTTGCAGCCCCAAACTTTACCAAACATGTACAGTGATTTTGCAGTTTTAAGAGCAACACAGAGTAGAACATAGTTGTGAAGCGGAAGGAAACTGATGAGGTTTCACAGATCCAAAAAGTGTGGAATGCATTTCATTCAGCACTTTCTAACCCCTAAATGCATAAGTGGGTCAAAATTGACTGGGTGAGGTCTCTTTCTTACTATATATTTTTGACACAAGGTTTGTATTATTTCACTATTCCACGTATTTCTCAAGAAATGGGTTGACATCATGCAACTTCAAATTCAGTCTTACCTCCTCTAATACATTTGATTACGTTTACATTTCAAATTACAAAACCAAGCTTCCATAAGTGGGTCATTACCCACATTCATTTTCTATGTAATTTCACTGAAATATTTGATTCTGATGGACTGTGACTGACAGTAATGTATACTTTATTAACCAAACACAAGTCTCAGATCTAAAGTTTATCCTAAACAGCAACATCTGATATACAGTATCTACAGGTCTTTTTTACCCCATAGTTGTATTTGTACAATTGCTAGCTAACCAGCAATTTTATTCAATTCAGTTTATTATAGAACAACTTTACAACTGTTTTCCTTAGTGTTGCTCTAAAACTGATGACAAAATGTAATCTCAAGGCACTTAAAAAAATAAATAAATAAATAATTTCAGTCCATTCCAGTTGTTCAGTTCATTACTCAAACTAGCTTAAAATGTTTTCTAAGGAAAACACTGATGTGATGACAGCAGATAATTGCTTGCATTGTGACTTTGGAGCAATAGTTCATACTAAGTATGCATGTAGCATACTCAGTATGCTACATGCATACTTGATATGCTACATGAGGAAAAATTCCCTCTATTATTGTGTATCTTTGTATGTGTGATTCATCACCACCATTCATTTTGTCTACTTTATAGTTTTTCTGAACTAGCTAGCACCACTTTATTTATAGGGTCTGTGTGTCATTCATGACTGAACTAAAATAAATCATTTTCTGCCATTGTCTAAAAATGCAAGAAAATGTTTTATATTTTCAATCAATAGACAATAAATGTTTCAGATTTGACTAAAAGTCATCTTACAAGACAAAACTTAACACTTTATTTGAAGGGGGTTGAATAAGACTGACATGACACTTTCATAAACATGACATAACACATGTTATGAACATGAATAAGTCTTCATGAATATTTATGACTGTTGTCATAAAGCGTCATTCGGTAAATTATGACACTTTTAATACAAAGTTGACATTATTCAAAATGTCTTTGTTATGACAACTTGACATTAACCAAGAAATCATTACTGTTTCATTACTGTTTAAACTTTACCTTTAATAACACAAAGTTACCTCATTTTTAAAGTGCAATCAGTAATACTTTTATAACAAATTTATATCAGTAATGATTTCTTGGTTAATGTCAGGTTATCATAACAAAGACATTTTGAATAATGTCAACTTTGTATTAAAAGTGTCATAATTTACCGAATGACGCTTTATGACAACAGTCATAACTGTTCATGAAGGCTTATTCATGTTCATGACAGGTGTTATGTCATGTTTATGAAAGTGTCATGTCAGTCTTATTCACCCCCCTTCAAATAAAGTGTTACCCAAATAGCTGTAACTGATGCATTTTTCAGTTTAATACTAAAAAAAAATAAATAAATGAAAAGCAAATAATAT